CCACACAAAAGCTACATGGCGGGGCATTTCCCGGTCGAGTTACTGGAACAGAAACCACTTCTTTACTTGAAAGGTTCTGCCTTTTGTCTCCCGTTTATCACTTTTCAAAAGCATGAGCAGAAATGTTAAAGGAATGGTATTGCGGGCATGAGTTGCAGTGTAAAGAATGGCATGAACATAGAGTGCTTAAGAGGAACTCATAGTGAGCTGAGGAATCACAATGTAAGTGTGGCCGGAAATTTCTTTTCTGTAAGATCAGCTGAGGCTCTTAAGATATTATGGCTGTTGCCATGACTTGTTATATTCCACAATCTGTGAGCAAGAGATCTGGTGGCCTTTTAAAGTGACCCCTTATGTTGAGCCTTATTAGAAAGGTTGCTTAGTAAGGAGTTTACTTTAAAATCTGGTCTCTGCATCTGCTTTTCTAGACGATAAACTTAGATTTTTTCAATAATAGCTCTTCAAAGGTAGACTAAGGTATTTTGATTTTTTAAAATAATACAATACCCAAATTATAATGTATTTCAAAATTACCATCTGTTTCTAAGTGGTTCTAAATGCTTTGTAAAAGTGGTAACTAAAAATATAATCTTGTGTTTCTTTAAGAATGTTATCGTGTGTTGTAAAGGAGGTATGTCCTGGCACACAGAGCCCACAGCGAATATAAAACTCCCCAGATTATTGATTAACTAATTGCCTTAAATTAAGACATTGCAGTTGTTCCTATATGACTTATTTTCTGAATGACAAGGCAATTACAGCAGGAGCTTGGTTTAGGTTCACAAAAAATTTAATTGCATTCCAACAAGTGATATCATATACAGCCAAGTGGGTGGGTAGTTAATGTGATCCGTGATCCCTATTTGGAGCTCTATAGAATTCACATGATTATGTATAACTCGGAACAAAATATTAGAAGCCGTTTTGTCTCCAGTGTTCGAACCCCATCTTAAAGTACGACCTGGGACTGCGATCAGAAAACTTAAATTAAAAGTTTAATTGGTCCCGTCATTGGCCAGATTCCCTTTAGTCCATAAGAATTGTACATTTGAGGTTGATTTTTCAGTTAATTTCTTGTGCCAAGCAAAATGCAATTATATCATTATGCAGATATTGGCAGGTACAACTAAGCCCAGTTCTAAATCCAGATTTAAAGCATCGTGAAGTCGTGATTTACAAATTATTTAAGTGCAATTAAGGATGTTTTCTTACTACTTCACATTCACATTGATCCCTAAAAGAAAAATGCAATTTGTTTAAAATTGATTATACGAACATGATGTCTTTTAGCTTATAAATAGAAAAACAATCCTCCTTATCTATCTTAAAATCATAAAAATGTTAAAGTTGTTATACCATAATTGTTTTGGTGTGTTTGTCTTTTGATATCAGAACAGACTGTTCTAAGTCATGCTGTAATATTCTATTATGGCAGAACTACTATGTAGTGTTTGGGTGGAGGTTCAGAGTTACTCATAAAAGAGAGTCAGAAACATGGCTACTTCATGGAGAAGAATTATAATTTTCCAAACCCTTTAGGTTTCATCAGTTTTGTTTTGGCCTGGGAAAGGAACATTTTCCATCACTGTGGAAGCACCGATTTGTGTCTTAATCCAGCAGAATTTCTTCAGAACTCCAACCACGATTTATTTCAGTCTTTGGATTCACTCACATTTAGATTAATTTTAATCCTCAAAGATATTTTAGATATTCAGTTCTGAAGTTACGCATTATAAGAATGAAAAAGCACTGACAATTTCTTGCACTCTCAACTAAAACTAAACATAGCTTAAATAGCCTTATTCCTCAATTTGACTAAAATTGAAACATTCACATTATTTTATATTTGGTTATCTTAGAACATTTGTTTATTGTAGATTGAGGCACATTAAGTGATGGAATTCCAATTCTGTGCAGCATGATTTAACTGTGTATTGGGGAGATTTTTTTTTGAAACCAGAAATCTCATTTGTTAAAAGAAAAGGCAGTTGGTATTTTTCAAATGTATATATTTTGTCAAATTTATTACATTACATTCTTTAAGCTTAGAAGGAAACACCATCATGAAGTTAACATAACTTTTTTTCTATGTTTGGGGTGAACTCATTTTTACAGTAGATCATTACTGTTTTGAAGTTCATCAAGATACACCAATTATTTGTCACATAGGAAGCTTTTTATAGTATGGTGACCATGCACTATGTTTACATACATTGCTTGCCTTGTTAACAAACAGATAAGTACTCAAGACAGGGTCAAATTAGAGCCAAGGTCAGCCCTTCACATATCTTATGTAACACTCTAAGGTAATGACCGAGGGGCAGGAATCACTGCACATTGCCAAGCCCTAAATGGCAGTAGTATGGAATTAATTCAGCAGTCAATTTCACTAAAAGTTTGAAATCTGTGCTATATTAGGAGAACGTGCTGAAACTGTGTTAATTGCTAGGTTGTTGTCCATATGGTTCTTTTTTAATAGAGCACATTTGTTGCAGATGGTTGGAAAGTTGGTTGGACAGAGAACTGGCGATGACTAATTCTTCGAAGGCCTATGCTCTCTTTTAACATTGAACAATCCTCTGAGTGAAATACTTTTTCATTCACAGATCCATTGCCCTTGAATTGTGGCCTACTCTAAATATAAGCCATTCTGCTTTTTTTTTAGATCTAGGAGAAGAGCAAACACAACGTGGTTTAGTCAGTTTTTCCTTAATTCTGATTCCAAACCACACCGAACTTGGATTCTTAAGACTTTCAGTTGTCTCCATCACCACAATGGTTTTCAGAGCATGGTTAGCTCACTATGCTTCTTTCTCTTAATATAACCACCCGCTGCAACAGACCCTGTCTTATTGAATACACACTGCTGAAGCTGGCAATTTCTGTATAAGCATGCTCTAGAAGAAAATCGTTTATGTATTAAAAATGTTTGTCATCTTTCGGACCATCACAGAATAAACCTTCACAGAACATCAGAGCATTTATAAGTAAAATACAGAGCAACATTTTTACTTTTCCTTTGTTCCATTGTCATTCAATGCCATCAGGAGTCCCAGTAAAAAAAATTGTCATGTGTCCATTATGACTCAGCTGTGTTATTTTCTGTTTCCTATATTTCTTCTTCGAATTTTCTACATTGTTTGTATGCCTCCTGCACTTTGTGTACAGAAGTACTTTCACTCACAGACTGTTTGTTTACATTTTAATAATAATTTGAAGACAGTGTCTTTTATGTACAGTTTTGTACCCGGGTGCCTTTTGTGTGACACATGCTTCCATATCTGTACTGCTGCCTCAACAAATGCCTGGCCAAAATAAGAAAGCAGAGGTAGGGTTTTTTTATATCTTAGAAGCAAGGAGATGCGCTTCGCTGGTTCTGTGCAGTCTGCTGTTGTTTTCTCACATTGTCACTGCACTACTTGTCTTATTATCTGAACGGGGCATTTGTGGCCTGGCCAATTCTCGGACACCTGATTGTGTGAAAAGTCTCGGTTAAATCCATTGGGCCTTAGAGGCCTGGTACCCTGCTAAGTGCTGTACAGCCTGAAAGGCACAGTGTCCTTGTGTTATACAGTCATTTGCAAGGCTTTGTCTTTGCACTTAGGAACAAAACTTCAGTACATTGTCTTAGTAGAATTATCTAGCAATATAGGAGTATGGCATTTTTTAACTTCTGGGGGTGTTATATGTTCTTACTTTTAAAATAACTTCATGAATTGCTTCTCAATTATATTTGGAATTTGTTTAAGCTACAAGTGACGATCACTTTTTTGTATCGCAGCAATAACCATCAACTTTGAACACTTCAGAACAACGGGAAAATAAGAAATGCAATATCTGTAATCCACATTAAATCTGATTGTCTCATTTTCACAAGCTTTGTGCAATGTTCATTAAGAAAGAATGACTCTTAATGAATGGGATCTTGCTCAAATTGAAATAAAAAAGTACCTAATTAGTACTATTATCTCAACCAAAAGACTTCTCGATTGGTTTCTTCAAACCCGTGATCATTATTAGAACTATTACACAGCCCTTAATTCTTAGTGATGTAATTCCTTGAATTCTTTTCAGAAGAAATGCCTTGGAAATGCAAAAGAGTATTTTAAATGTTTTTACCTTTTATGACAGACTTTTGACATTGTAATGTGGGCAGTTTGCTTATCCAGTATGGCATACAAATATCCTTGCAGCCTTTTATGAATACCAAATACTGCATATATAGAACATATCAATTAGATATTTATAGATTTTTATAAACAGGGTTCAAATAGTATTTTAACAATGTAGCAATATATTCCATCTACGTTTTAAATATCAATTGTTACTTTTTAAGTACTTTACTTAATATCAATTGAAATATTGCAATATGTATAGATTACATACAGGATAACACTTATTTCTGGAGCATTGACCTGGAATAAAATAAAATAGCCTGAACTGGTTTATGATTATGAACGTTTTTTTTACAAATAATCAGAACCATCAACCACCATGTTTAACCTGCGCTTTATCACATTGCACACTTTCAGCTGAAAGAGCTGTGTTTATCAGACCTCCAGAACCAGTGACATCATGCCCACATCCCCCTGCATGCTCAACCCCCTCCCACCACCCCTCAGAAGCTGTGCCATGCCAGTACAGTGCAGGGACTCCTGCGGTCAGGGCTTCCAGAAGCCACACTGCCCTGGCCACACATGCTCTGCAGCTGGACCACCTTCAGTTGCAGCACAGACGTTCAGTGGGAGGAGGCTGTCTTTAAGGTTAAGAGGAAAAGCCATTTGTGTAATGCAAACATATCATCAGGCTGGGGCTGGCAGCGTTGTATGCAAATTGTTGCTCTTTTGAAGAGAAGTTATAATTAATGATGTAGGAGAGGGGAGGTTTCAGGGGGTTTTAACCACTCTGCTTGTTAAAAAAAAACTATTGGGAAAAAAAAACTGTATTGCCTGTGATTATACGGAGTTACAATGGTTTTCTATGTATTTCTCCCGCCGCAGAACCCCAAATGCTGACATGGAGGGCTCTCTTCGTAGCAGCTTTTTACTGAGGTTAGTTCTTTATGTTGTTGTTGCAGGCCAGATTCATCTGTTTCTTTCACAATTTCAAAATCCATTTCAAATAGAAAGTGTGACTAAGAAAAAGAGCCGAGACAGTCCAGCCGACGAATGTTTTGCTGGTGCAGGAGACAGGTTGTCCATGGCCTCGTGCCTGCCCCTCAGCTGAAGGATGCCATTCCTGCTCTGGGGCAGAACGATAGAACGCACTAATATTGAAATCATGATGGCATGATGCATGTCTCAAAACTTGAAGTTAGTTGAGATCAGTCATCTTTAGAATCAGACGTGCTTGTTTGTTTCCCACTCTCAATAGTGGTGCTGACAATAAGGGTGGGTAGGCTTGACTTGTCGTACATTCTGATTGTTTCTGCTCTCACATACAAAACGCAATGAGGACAGAAGGCACTTCCCTCCAGGTTTCTAATTAAGAATTCATTCTGTCATTACTCAGAGAAAATAAATACTAGGAAGTAAAATTACCATTTACTGTTCTTCTGAACTATCTTATAGACCCTACTGTCACACCCTAATTAGTCGTATCTCATTAAATGTGGTGGCATCCTCCTTTTAAGCTAGTGTCAGCCAAACTTTACAAAACCTAATAGATTTTCTTTGATACCATTGCTTTTTTCACCTTAATTGATTGCTTAAGTGTAATGAAGGTCATTTATTTGATTAAATTTTCACTGATTTCTTTCAAACTTGACCAGACTTAATTGAATAAAAGAAATTATGATGCAATACACGCTACTTTAGGTTAGCTGTTGATCAGATCTAAAATTGCCAGAAGGAACCTTAGACTCTTCTTTGTCAATACAATTGCTGTGGCACCTAGGATATTTAAGTTATCGTTTTAAGATGGTATGGCTTCCTAGAAAAGATCTTGGGTATAGATGGAGCATACTGAATTTTAAAATAATATTAATAAAATAAATTGCAAGAGGATGAAATACAGACATTTTACTGTGCAACTACTAGTAAACTAGGTGCCTTTAGTTTTTTATCTAAACTTAGATAATGGTGGTAGCATTACCCAAAGACCTAAATCTGCATAATAAATGGAATCTGAGTTAGAGATTGTCTAACTACTTGAAGAAACAGCTCTGAAGCATGGAGACCTTGGAAAAACACACCGCTCTTTAATGATTTTCATAGATGTCACAAATTACAAACATATTCTGTGTATCATGTATGTGAAAACAGGTGGCACAATAAAGATATGTTAAAGAAGCAAAACCTTAAAACCACTGTAAAAGATGACTTCATGTTATCTTGTTGCATTACATTAAATTTTCCTGGAACAAACTTTCTCCAAATCAGCACAAGTGGTATGATTTGTTGTATAACTTAATGCTGCTCTTCGGAATCCTTATCATTATTATACAGGGATCCAGAAGCTTTGATTTGGACTGAACCAATGTAAATAAAGTATACTTAGAATGAGTTCTGGGTATATCTGGGACTGCACTGCCTTTGTTAGTGATCTACAAAACTATTTGGACATGCTTTCCTGGCTGTCACATTTCTTATAAATTGTGGTGCTCAAGATGGCAAAGGTATGTAGTGCCTTGTTAACAGAGCTATTTTATTACAAGAAGAAAGGGCCAGAGCTTTGCTTTTAATAACCAGATTCATAAAACTGGCAGTTTTAATTTGGGGAGCTGGAAATGAATGATTTCTGTTTCTTTTGAAGAAGATTTGGGCCCAGTTTATCTTGACCCTTTTAATAGTGCGGTGTTCTGAAGATTAAGTGGTCTGTAAAGTTTTGATCCTGTTGGCATTTTCACGGTGAACCAGTTCCAACTATTGTGTTGGGCGCGACTGGAGGTTGGGATAAAAAAAACAGTAACAGTGCCTCTGGGAAGATCTGTATGCAGTTCGAGGACAGTAATAAAGAGATTATCTCTTTACCTGCGGCCCCTACTCATTGCTGGATTCAAGGCTAAAAAAGGGGTCTTTATGTTCAAAACAAATAAAATCCGACATAAACGACAATGCTGGAATGACTTTTTAAATCTTTCATTAGAAAATAAAAAACGTTTTCTTTTATGGTCACTATTTTTTTTAGTGCTCAACTAGTGTACTGTATACTTGTTATTTGTAACAAATAGTTACACAGATGTACAAATAGCACACAGAGTATATATGCTTTCTTACAGCATCTATACTTTTTTGTGGCCATAAAATAATAGATGCACTAAGCTACAAAATAAGTAAAATCTCATTTTCTCTTAAAATATAGCTTGAAATCACGTTTTTGTTCCCATGGCAAAACGTCTGTACAAACATAGACATTCTTAAATAAAATGAATATCTGTAATGGCCCATGATGTATTTTCCTAAGCAAACAGTTTTTTTTTAACTAATAGTCACAGTCACCTGGCAGCAGATTGTTAGAATATCCTACAATAATGTCACAAACTGGTGTTTTGTTTGATTTGAGCCACCTGTTCGAACAGCACAAATTTCAGATTTGGCTTTAATTGCTATATTAGGATAACTGGCTTTGGGCGGAGGAGTGGAGAATGGATAGCAAACACCTCCTAAATCCACCAATGACTGTTATAGCAGAGTAGTGTCTGACAAAAGTTTAAAAGAAAAAAAAATCCAGTCTGACCTTTGGCTGGGATAAAAGGCTGTTTCACAACAATTTTCTTTTGTTCTCTGTTTAAGCCATTACTCAAAAAGGAGACTCCGATTAATCTAAGTAAATGCATCATTACAGTCCTAATCCACATCCTTCTGTCAATGTCGGTTTTAATTAAATGAGAAACGCCAGTAGAAAGATATCACGCACAGGCATCGGGATTGGAGGAGGAAAACCTCAACAATCAGGACAAGATTAAAGCAGGCTTTGCTTCAGTTTTTGACCTTTTGCTCAACCACTGTTGTTTGTCTTGAAGAGCCAGGAAAAGGAATATGTTTTTAAGTGTAACACCACAACATCTTTTTATATTAATTAACTGAAACAGGTCAAAGGTGGCTCCGTCAGTAACATTTGTGGGAAAGCATGACAGTAACCCAGGCTCATGCCTAAAGAAAGTAATTTGTTTAATTTAGTGTAGTGGTGAGATCTATACGTTTTATCTTTTTTTCTACAGAATTATTTGAGTTTAACTTTTCTGGATTCTAAGTATTTTGCACAGAGCAAGATAGGCACAAGTAAATGATGAAATGTATATTATTACGTACAGTCTATATGACGAAACAGAATAGCCAAGGCATTTTATGAGAGATACCTGTTCAATTTTGGAAGAACGCAGAGAATCGGTTGGGATTTCTCTTTATTTTTTTAATATGCAAGTAATCACAAGTCCCAATAGCAAGACAGTAAAAGAAAAAGATCCACAAGTTTAAGTCCCTTTTTCATGTGGATGAAGAGGTAAGGACATTTTGCACACATTCATAACCTTTTGTTATTAATCATTAGAGCAGGGTTTCTGTACACTATATGGATCTTTAAAGTGCAAGAGTAAACATGACTTTATTGTCATTCTGAAAACAGCATTCCTGATATCGGTCTGAGAAATCTGATGGGTGAGGATTATTTAAAAAATGCATGACAGAATGTATTAGCTTTATTAATTAAAAAATTAGCCCAGTTCTTTGTCAGTAGATATGTCAGGAGTGTGCGTAAAAAGCTCATTGCTCTGGCAGCCCCTATGGTAATCCCAACGGAGAGGACCTCCTCCCACATCTCTGCCATTATTTGATGTAATGAAAAGAGAAAGTGTGTAACACTGAGATTGTTAATTAATTTAGTCTAACAAGATGAAGATAAATGAAGCACACTGAGGGTCGACTCGATGAAGGGGTACGCTATGCATTTCTGTTCTCCTGCCTTCACAATGGAATAGATTTAAAAGGTACAGTTCCACTTTACGCGAGTGTGGTACAGGTCTGCAGTTATACATCGTGTTTACTGTGGTTACAGTACTTTCACATGTACTGGGTTTACAGTGGAAGTGTTAAACTAGTCACTTACTTTAGATCTTCTTTTGAACCCAAAACTACAGTAACCCCATTCATTAGGCTTACTGAACTGCTGTGTATGTGATATTGAACTACAGTACCATTTCTGACTACAGCAGGCTTAGATATCAGTATAGTTATTTAGGATGCACTATATGCAAGGAATTTCTGTTGTTGCCTATACTGTATATTATTGCAGAATATTGTACTGTTTTAAATGTATTGACATTCTCTTGGGGGAAGGTTCTTATTATTACTATTAGGATTTTTGTATAGCTTTTAATTATTCTTTTATAACTTTTATTACTTTTAAAGTGACTGGTTAGATATGCAGTGTATTTTATTTAGTGTTGACTTTTCGTCTTGGTCTAGATTAATGTGTATTCAGGTATCACAGAAAATTGTGACTGAATAATAATAATCTCATATTGAATATATACTGTCATTGTCCTGTCTGTATGCATTATGCTGTTGAGTTGTTTGGATGAGTTTTTGCATTGGAAGAAAAAGATGTCAGTCACCGACGGCTTTTGAGAGCAATTTTCTTAGCAGACCTTTACCAGCCCTTGAGTGTGTGCGATATTGGACATGCAGAGGACTCTTGTTTGATCACGTGCCTTTACTTGGAAATGACATTTTTACACTTTGTTAGTCATGACTTTTTTAACCTTATCTCTCTAAGCCACAGCACTGTGGAGACAAGAAGCAAAAATGGCCTCTATATGAGGTCAGACCCTCTCCCATCTGAATGGCCGCTGGCAAGTGCAACTTAGTTATTATTTGAGGAAACAAAAAAAAAACAGAAAAGAGAACATTTTTTAAAAAGCCAGACAGTTGTCTTCATCCACAACCTTTTCAGCAAATCAGCAGTCTATCAAGGACTTTCAGTGCAGACAATTCTATATGAGCTGGGATGGCAACACAGACCAATCATTATGGCATCCATTCTCTGGTCCTTTATTTTTCAAGTCCACAACAATAGGTTGTTGATTGTGTGGACAACACCAGAACAATTATGT